ACTGTCTGACCCCTGTTAGCTGAGGCCTGTCAGTCATGCCTGTGTGTGTGTGTGTGTGTGTGTGTGTGTAAGGATACAGATAGTAAGGATCTGATTTGTGCTGATCCAATTAGTCCCTCTGTCAATTAGTTGGTCAACAGAGAATGAATCGCCAACAGTTTTTTCCTGTTTTTTCCACTGCTGCTCTGTTTTATATTGTTTCAAATGACATGAAAATGATTTATATGTGGGAAGGTGATCAGCTCATTTATGAAGACATCAGCACAAGGATCTTGTGATCGGCATAGTCACCACTTTCTGTCATGTCAATACAACAATAGATGCAGCGATAGATAGGATTTGCAAATGGAGAAGCAAGAGCTGAGATGTCATTCTGCTGAGCAGCGTCATCAAACAGCATCAAACCATGTGCAATCTGTGTACAGGGGAGATTTCTGACTTTGTTGCTGCTCTCACTGTTCTTTTATATTCATACAATGCATCTTTCCATGATGTTAATGAGAATGGAGGTAGCCCTGTTGTTAGCCTATTAAAAAGTCCTCCATGGTTCTGGCCAGCCACTAATAACCCCACCAGGGATTACTGTACAGCAGTCTGGAAGGACAGCAGGGCTCCAGTTGGGGCCTCAGCTTGCTGTCATCCGAGAGAGGCAACCCAGAAGACCTCCATTCACTCCCAGTCTGAGAGGGGCCACCACGCCAACTCTCTAGAGCAGCTTGAAAGGCTCCCACTTGGGATACAAAGTGGCTCAGCTGTCCCTCTCCTATCCTCACCTCCCCCGGCACCCTCCTCTACACCCAAGCCAAATAAAGCCTCTCAGCAACTTCTGTTTTCCTAATCTGTGAACTCTGACAGAGGCGCCCACGCTTGAAAGAGAGACAGCTCAACATGGGATGATCTCCCGGTGACAGGGAGAAGCTGAAAAAACGTTCCCCGGAATGTCTCTGCTGAAATCGCCAGACCACCCTGTCATCTTCCTGTTCCCCTCTTTCTCTCTCTCTCTGCCTCTCTTCCTACCTCTCTCTGTCACTCCCTCTGTTCCTCGCCCACCTTTTTTTTTTTAAATCTAATTTCCCTTCCTTTTGCCCTCCATCATTTACCTTCTCTAATTGGGCTGTCACTGGTTGATTAAAACCAATGAATCTGTTCCAATTGCCAAATGGCCTGAGTAGTCTTTGTAGCTAAGTGCAACTTCTTATGTAGAGGGCTTCCATCTAAAAGCCTCATATTTTTCATCCATTCCCATACTGTGCCCATAATACTAATGGACAAATTATTTAACACTGCAGTAGCTTAGCCACAGAGGATTGTAGCCCAGCAGCACACATACATTTTCCTTGCCATTATTCCACAGAGGAATGTTGCAGTGATGAATTGACCATACAGTTTATATTTGTCACTGCACTCCAAGCAGCCATTCACTCGGAAATGACTTAGCTGCCACAGGGAACACTTTATCTTGTATAAATGGTGGTAGGTTTGTGTGCTGGGGTCAGATCCAACTTTGATGACACACTCAGTGATTGAAATGTAAACCGAAGGCTAGCCAATATCAAAAATCTAAATATTAACTTATTAGAGGAATAGTTATTAGTTTTCACGCTGATGTGATGTAAACATAGAGACCACTCGCATCTGTACAGTAATTACAAAGCTACAGCCAGCAGCCGCTTAGCACAGAGACTGGAAACAGAGGCGAACAGCTAGCATGACTGTGTTCAACGGTAACAAAATGGGCTTCCCATTGACAACAGTGTCAGTTTTGGTGCAAATTGAACAAATAAGATATAATGTGATAATTAGTGAGCTTTAGTGGTTTTTAGTGGTTACATTTGGATTGTGCCAAGCCAAACTGTTTCTCCTTTATGATCTTTGTGCTAAGATAAGAAAAACTAGCTTCATATTGACATGAAGTTTATGTTGATCTTCTCATCTAACTCTAGGAAAGAAAGAGTATTTCCCAACATGTCAAATGACTGAAATCTGGAAGAATAAAAAAATGTTTTTACATCAGCATTATAAACACTTCTTGTCTGAAGAGCTTCATCCTCTGCTCGGTAAATTCTTGAAAATGTTGCAACTAACCCAGCATTTCCGTGTGGTTCTCACTGTCTTCTTCAGAGAGACGGAGACGTGGGCCTGCAGCTGTTGCTACTTCAACCACATTTAATGAAAGACAATGTCTGCCCCCACTGAGGGAAACTTGTGGCTTGTTAAACACACTGTCAATGCTGAAAGCAGAGAATTTTCTTGCTGAAACAGTTTCTTAGTATCTCAAAGGTCAGCCAGCTACACAACTGTGCTGACATCCTGACCAGGCTTCCAGATTCAGGGAGATTTTGTGGAACTGGCTCACATTTCGCATTTTTTATTGTGATATAGAATAAGTCTTAAGTTTTTAATAAAGACCAGATTTTTCTGCCAGAGCACAGAGTTGTTGGACTGTCTCAGAGAATTGTTAACACTTACTGTGAGGCTAGCATCTATTTCAGAGGGCACACTGAGTGGAATTAAACAGCCTTGTCACTGTTCTCTCTCTGTTTAACCTACACGTTCATCTGCCAGACGCGCCTGACAGCACCAGACCCTGGAAGAATCTCCCAGCAGGCCCGGCAGCACGCGGACCGCACCATATTTAGTCATCCAAAGTCCAGACACAGACCAATGCAGTCCTCCACTTTAATCTGTCTCCTCTCTGTTTCTGCCTCCATCTCTCCCTCTCTCATTTTTTATGTCCTTCCCTCAACTCCCTCCCTCCATCTCTGTCACTTCCCTTCTCTCTCCCACCGCTTCCATTCATCTCTGTCCTCGCTCGCCCTCCCTCGAGTCATTTCTGCTTTATCACTGTCATGCCCCTCACGGTTTCTCTCCCCCTTGTGTGTCCCTCTTTTCCTTCCTACCCACTTAAACTCCCTCTATCCTCGTGCCTGTTTGTCCTCTTTTCTAGTATCTTGTGTCTGTCAGGTCTTTTCCTGCCTGTTTTTTTTTTTTTTACAACTTTGTCTAACTTCCTCTCACTCCCTCAGCGACATGCCCATCAAATCTCGAGTCTGAATTTTTCTTTCTTCCCTCACCTGTCATAATTTCTGCCCCTTCTTCCTGCTCCTTTCCGCCCCCCCCCCTTCCTCTTCTCTCTCAGAGCCTCCCCACTGTCTCTTTTCTCGGATGAGCGTGCTGCTGATGGAAGCTGGGCCTGGATGCTAATGAGTTGCTAATTCTATCAGCCGTCTCTCCATGCCCTCCCCAGTGGGTGTCAGGCCCGCCAGATTTACCACGGCCAGCCTTTTGATGGAGTGCCTTGGCTGATGAACTCCCGCCAGCGTGCCCACTTTCACCTCGTCGTCCTCAGACACATGTCATTGATCAATGTCGTTATCTGTCCTGGCAAGGCCCGCTCTCAATCCAATCATTTATGAGCAGGCCCATTCCCTGCAGTCTATTTTTCATGTTAAATATTCTTATAGCAGGGGGATTTTTTTCCCAATGTTTTCATGCTCAGGTCTTAAAATTTCTTGTGGCTACTTTAGAGAAAATATATGATTATGTCTTTATCCCAAGTATAGCTCGAAATTAAGCAGAAAAGAAGTATGAAGAGAGATTTTAAATTATGCGTAGCTACCTCCTAAAAGTTGTGCATTCAACTCTGACATTTTCTTCCTCACTGTCTCCCTGCCCTGTATAATTCCCTCACACTCTTTTCCTTTAATACCCAATCTGCGGTTGAGGAGAGGCCAAATGGCTGGGTTTAAGCACTTGAGCACAGAAGAGTGGTCCTATTTACCAGGCCACTGGGCTCTTTTTGAGGGTTGCTAGCTTTGGACCCCTCACACAAGAAAAGAACGAAACTTTTGTTTTTCCGACTCCCCTTAAATCCGTCTGTCTGCCTTCCCCGCTTGACTGAAGTGGATACAGAGGCGGCCTTTTGTTCTACCAAGATGAAGAGGGATGCTGTAGTATAAGAAGGGGAGCGAGGGTAGGAGGAGGTGGGTGTGATTCATTGTAATTTAATAAATACCTCGCAAAGAGGGTCGGGGTGCCTTCTCAACCCCTCAGCTGTCTGTTTTGAAATGGGGCTCCTCTAGATTTGACACCCAGGGAAGTAAAAAAGGGGATTATGGGAGGAAAAGCCTCAGGCCATCTACATCTCTTTCTCTGTCTTTTTCTTTGCCCCAAAGCTTTCTCTCCCTGCGCCCCTCACTCTTTCTCTCTGGGACCAGGAGGCCCCTCGTCTAGCTGTGAGTGTATCAATGATGTCATCCAGGTACCTATCTCGACCCAGAGATTTACAAAGGCTTGAATGGAGTCTCGTAGCCTCAGTTCTTCTAATACAGAGTATAATCCTCAAATAGCTATCACTTCTTGTGAATTTTCTGGTTCAGTGAGAGAACATAAAGCTGTCTTTTCTCAGGTCAGCACTGTGTGACAATAGCGTTGCAATGGTTGATTTCCTTTCAAATTCCTGCAAAAATCAGTAAGAGCTCTAAACTAGAGCCATGTCCTCATATATAAAACTGCTTCTTTTTTTTCAGCAACAGCTCTTAAAGCAGAGGTTTGACCAGGGTCACACACGGTCCACTGCTTTGCAACATCACCAGGGATTATAGGGTGACTTCTGCCATGCTGCTCAAGCATGACCAGAAGGCTTGGCCAGTTTTGACCTGAATGGAAGTACTGAATGAGAGGCAGGCATTGAAATTCAGGGTGCAGTCACTTGCAGCCGCTAATGTCTCTCTTTAAATGGTCACATCCTTTCTCTTGGGCCTCCCATCTAACTGTCTTCTCCTCTGACAGGCTTTTAGTCAATGAAAACACTCACTTAATTGTACAGTACAAAAGATCCAAATTAATTTCCTTTAGAAGGGCAAATATAAGATAGATAGATAGATAGATTTCTTTTTTAAACAGTAGAATTCAATCAGTGTCTGTTTCTATTTCATATCCTATTATGGTAAAAATATGTCTATGACATTGACCTTTGTGTTTATTTCTCTCTCTTGCAGGAAGGGCTCTGGTCAGACTGAAGTGAAGGGTCACTGAGCTCAGACACTCTCCTTCCACTGACTCACAATTATACACACACACACACACACACATCCAGGGGAAAGTCACAAAAACAGACACAGCCAAACAAGGACACTTACTCACATTTACACTCATAGACTCTTGACTACACACACGTACACACACACAAAGACTCATTCGTGCACAAACACAGACCCACATTCACGAACAGGCCCTCTGAGCAGGATGAGGGAACCCTGGAGGTGCCTGCTGGGCCTGTGCCTCCTGGCATGCTCAGTCTCCACCCACAGTGCCGCCAATCCCTTTGCAGGACAGCAGACCCCTCCAGACCCTTGCTATGACGACACAGGTGCAGCCCGCCGCTGCATCCCCGAGTTTATCAATGCTGCCTTTGGCAAGGAGGTGACGGTGTCCAGCGTCTGTGGCCGGCCTCCATCCCGTTCCTGTAGTGTGGTGGAGCGGGGCGACGATCGGCCTTCTGTACGCACATGTCAAATCTGTGACGCAGCTGACCCTCGCCGCGCCCACCCAGCTTCCTACCTCACCGACCTCAACTCGGCCCATAACCTCACCTGCTGGCAGTCTGAGAATCTGAACATCTCTCCGTACAATGTGACTCTCACTCTTTCATTGGGTAAAAAGTTTGAGATCACCTACGTCAGCCTGCAGTTCTGTTCACCACGACCTGAGTCCCTGGCCATATACAAGAGCATGGACTACGGCAAAACCTGGATGCCCTACCAGTTCTACTCTTCACAGTGCCGGCGTATGTACAATCGGCCCAACAAAGCAACCATTACCAAGCAGAACGAGCAGGAGGCTCTATGCACAGATGGCCACACTGACCTCTACCCGCTCTCTGGAGGACTCATTGCTTTCAGCACTCTGGATGGACGGCCCTCTGGTAAAGACTTTGACAACAGCCCAGTCCTCCAGGACTGGGTGACCGTCACCGATATCCGTGTGGTTTTCAACCGGCCCCAGTTACCGCGGGAGCTCGGGCTGGGGGCTGGAAGCAACAGCGGAGGGAGGGACGATGACCCCATGGCAGTGACATCAACGCTGCCAACTTATTTCTATGCAGTGGGAGACTTCCAGGTGGGCGGGAGGTGTAAATGCAATGGACATGCCTCACGCTGTCTGAAAGACAAGGAAGGCAAACTGGTGTGTGACTGCAAACACAACACAGAAGGACCTGAATGTGACCGCTGCAAGCCCTTTCACTACGACCGACCGTGGCAGAGGGCCAACGCCCGCGAGGCCAATGAGTGTCTGCGTAAGTCTTTCCATCTATCTGTCATTCTTTAGACATGTTTGAGTTAGCCTGCTATGGAACATACTGAAGATCTATCTTTGCCTGTGAAAAAAAAATAAAAAAAATACAGACCAGTTCTGAGAATTTACATTTAGCACAACAGGTTTTCTGACTTGAGCATGAACACAATGGCTCTATAACACTATGTATTTGACTTATAACAAATCATAGAACTAAGATGAATACAATTTATTCTTGTAGATCACATTCCAGTCTTTGTAGAAATATCCTTTACACCAATTCAGTGGCCATTAGAAAAGGAGCACACAAATGTTTCGAAACACTTGTATGCAGACCACCCTCTCTCTCTTCAGCTGTCATCCCTGCCCTATTCCTTCCCCCCTCCTCTGAATCAGGGAGATATTGTTTCCTCAGTACGTCTCTGTAGTCCTAATGAGGATGGGACCAAGACAGGACACTGAACCCTGTTACACACACATCATTGCGACTGCCATATAATGTACGATACAAACATCCCATTCAGGAAATGTAGGAAAAGTTTTAAAACAGTCATGACCTTTCCACCACCCAATTTCAGGATATGAGGACAGCCATGTAAAGTCAGGCCAACAAATTGAATCTGCACTCATAAACACAAAGAAGGAACTATGATGTTTGACTCTATTAATGGTGATTAATAGTGTTGCCAACATACCGGATAGGTTTGTGTTTATTCAGGTGAGGACTTTTGGTAGCACATAGTGGTTGAGCTGGCAACTCTGGCAACGTCTCTCAAAACACACTGGCCCATCCTTTCCTTTCACTTCCCATCAGCCTCTTCTGTTTACCATTCCTCTACAGGGAAACAGGCTGACTCTCAACAAAATCATGTTTTCTGGACTTCTCTATGAAAAAAAAAAAAATAATAATTTTCTCAAGCAAGTCTAAACAGTGGATGACAACAGCTCAAGTCATTGGCTCACGGCTACAGCTAAGTCATCCAAGAATGTTATTTGGCAGTGTTTGCCTTTACCTCAAGACATGCTCTGTAAAAGTCATCCAGACGTGCTCTGAAAGCGTGCCAAGTAAAATTATAGCAATTTCTGTGGCAATTTTTGTTAATGTAAAGGGATAACCTTTGTATTGGATTAGGATTTTCTATGATAACAGGCCTCTGATGTGATAGTTAGCATATATATTAACTTCCTGGCTGTACAAGGGTTTTAGACACACATCATGTTAGTCATGTGATTTAGCAGGAATTCATTCTCTAATATGTGGATGTTTCTTTGGCGGTAATTTTTCACAGTATTTTTCTGTTTGTATAAATAGACATAGGTGGAACTTAATTCAGGTCAATTTTGCTTGTCATAAAAATTTGTTAGTGTAGGAAAATAAAACCATATTAGAAACCACTGTCCCCATTTTAACCTTTCTCCGTAATGAAATGAAATTACAGCCAGAGAGAAAAAAAAGCAGGAGTCGAACACTGAAAAACAGTGTATATTTTTCAAACATGTTGTAATTGCTCAGTGAGCTGGCCTGAGATCATATTTAGCATTGAACAGTGCCAGATCTGTTTAAAGGGGACAAATAGTGACAGAGCCAGAGCAGCAAGGCTATTTTAACATCAGAACAGCCAGCGAACGCACCCTCCCCTCGCTCTGTGCTCTGAAACCTCCCATGCTAACACTACCTTACTTTGGCCTCTCACCTGTTCTTGACACCCTCGCTTACATACACACCTAGCTCCCTTCTAGAACAATATCCTCTAAGTCCCTCAGTGTTTTTTCTCTCGTACTCTTGCACACACCCTCTTTCAAATGTCCCGTAGCTGTTTCCGAAATGTTACACCCGTTTCCCGTAGATCTCTTCTCTGCGGGACTGATATGTCACTTCTGTCCATGATTTCTGGACTAAACCGCCCGGCTACACCGGCCAACTCTGATGACCTAATCCCACTGTTGATACAGGGCAGTTAAAGCCTATTGCAAGTTGCACGCTATACCTGATCACACATCCGGACACGCCAAAAAAGCTAGTCCCAGATGTCCACAATTTCATGTTCCACAAGCCTCTTTACAGCTTATTCCGGTAGAACCGGTTCCAAGATATCCTCAAAGTAGCAGGAGAGCCTTTAAAAAGCCTCTCCAGTGTATATTAAAGCCCATTCTTTAAATGCACCCGCCCCTTGTTGATTTCTCAGCTTGCACTTCTTTCTGACACGCTGTGTGGAATGGCGGCAGGCTGCAGTGCAAGCCCTGAGGCATGCCACTGTGGCAGAGAGGTGTAAGTATTTAGACTGTGAAAATGTGGAAGAGTGGCAAGCTACAGAGCCGAGGAGTCCCTTAGGTGTCACCAGAACCTTCGTGAGGCCCTGGGGGTGTTTGGATTGGAGGGAGGGTCTGAGAGGGCTGCTCTGAGGTCATGAGCCTTTGTGGGGTGGTGACAAGGTTAAGTTGACGGGTAGATGGTTTGTGGGTAACTCAGGAATTCAGAGTGGGCAGATGTAGAGCCAAATCAATGGTTATTTCACACCCTGCCTCTGAGTCTGTCAGCCTTTGAGAAATGATGTGCCTGGTAGCCAGATTTCACCACTTTAAACATTATTGTTAGGATTGTTTTAAAGATTTTGCAAGGTTCTGCTCCCACTCGCAGTAATCTTTAACCCGCAGACGAAGAACATTGTCTCTGACAGGCTGGTTTGATTGTTCGCGAGTCTTACTAAATGTCTGACATGCACCGCACCGAGATTACTGTCTGTGCTCTTGGCAAGCTCACGTACAGTCTCCAGACACAAGCCATGCACACACACGCCCATCTGCCGCCACCCTCACTATGAATCCTGCCTGAAGACATTGGTTTACAAATCCCCGCTCTAGTAGTCATGGAGGGCAGCCTCGTAAAGGAGCGTGTCTGTTTGCATTGAGGGAGACATGATGGAAAAAGCTGTGATTTATCTGCCCGGAGTTTGAGCCACAGGACAGAATGAGGAAACAGATGGATAAGAGCTATTTGGTTACTGGTTGTGATGGAGTATTGGCTTTTCTGTTGGCATGGTCGATGCAGTAATGTAAATACTTTATGTTGACTTAAAAATATGAGACGCTATATCATGCCATAATAGAGTCTGCCACAGTCACTGCATAAGATGAAGAGGCCTCTTGTAGAGTCAACGACAATGTGACATCCTGAGTAGATGATAATTTATGGCGGCGTAGTAGCTCTCTACTCTTGGCCGTGTCTGCAGCCATCTTGGCCCTGTTTGGCTGCGGCACCAAGCTGTTCTATTCTCCAGCCCTTCCTCTCTCTCATTTGGACTCAGCCAGCAGGAAGTCCAGAGTACTGCTCTGGGACGCTACGCGCCCAGGGCCAGACACCATCCATCCCTAATGGACCAACCAAGCCAGGTCTGCTCCCAGTGTTGCGCCAGGCACACTGTTATGCATTCATAGCATTAAACAGAGGTCATGTAAAGGCTGTTTGAGTTGCCATTTGAGCTGATTTGCCAGAAATGCAGGTGAGCTGTGGTTGGGAGCAGAGTTGGGTGTTCCTGCTCTGCTGTAATGTTTGGGTGTGGTGTTGCATATTTTTCATAGTAAATTTGACATATTGAATCCAGCGGGAAATGAGTGATATGGTAGGCTATTCTGTTTTTGCACAAGACGGGGAGTTTCCTTTGAAATTAAATCAATCAACCAAATAACTATTCACTGCAGACTCATTATACATCAGTCCATGTCATCACCCGAAGGAAATTCTCACAAATTAGTTATTACCTCTAAAAAAGTTATTAGCTGTTACATGATAGATGTTATTAGATCATGTCTGCTACACTAATGAAACAGCAGTTGCATTAAAATTACAGCGGAAGAAGGAGAAGTAGAACAGACAGATTTTGAAGTTGCAACTCTTGTCGCAAGCCCGGTCAAACCTTTTGTGGGAGCTTGTGGTTTTTGGTGGGCTCAGCCTCTGCTTTTTGGAAACTATTAGCTGGAATTAGGGGGACATTGACAGATGGGTTTCTTAGGGAGAGTAGTGTTATCCAGCAGAGGGGTGTGTGTGTGTGCGTGTGTCTATGTTTGTGTGAACGTGTGTGTCGGAGGAAGAAGCCAGCCAGGAACACATGCTCAGGAACAGGGCTCAGAATAAGCTCTCGGATCTCTACAGAGCTATGGAAACTCTGAAGACCACAGAAGTACAAACTCTCTTTCTATTTCTCTCTCTCTTCATTCCTCTCACTGACAAGGGGCAGATGGTTATTTAATGCTGATTAGAATTTCAAAATAGGCCTCCATCCTTTCACAGCATACTCCCCCCTACCCCCCTACCCCCCC